TTTAGCCTCTTCTGCCTTGAACAGGGGCAGAGACCCTCCAGTTTCACTCAGGCTCCACTGAGCAGGGATCCTGGGAGACAATGAATTTACAGTCCCACACAGTCCCTTTTAATCAGCTTAGGCCTAGTCCAAAGATCACTGAAGTGGATGGCAGCCTTCTCAGTGACTTCAGTGGTATTTGGCCTAAGCCTGTGATGTTACTGAAAAAAGGGGTTCTTCAGAACATCAGAGGACACTCCAGGCAGAAAATGGGGGTCCAATAGGGACAGATCAGAGCCCAGGACAACCAGCAGGAGCCACTCCCTGGACATGCCAGAGTGTCCCAATTTTCTTTCAGCTGTGTTCAGTCCTTTGTGGAAGGACCTCCGCTTCCAGCTCCTGCAGAACCATCTCAAGGGGGTGTTTCCATCCTCACTCAATGTAGCTAAGTAGGGATTTCCTGGTATTTTTCAGCACATAACCACCATCTCGCTCCTCGGAGTTCCTTCAACATCTCTTGCCTGGCATCACTGCTCAGAAGTGAAAGCAGCTAAGACAATTACAACTCAGGCAGCAAGACACAGAGACTAGGAAAGGGGCTCCAAAATGTTCAAGAGGGATTTTGTTCTTGCTTCATTACCTTCTGCCCCCCACCATCATCAAGTACTACAGTGGGCAGATGCTGGCTAAAATGCCAGAAGCATCAGCATTAAGTTTACCAAAGCAATGAGAGAATCTGACGGCTCCTATGCACATGCAGTGAGGCTGCTCAAACACGCAGTAATTACAGAGCGTCAGACCAGACTCAATTAATCGGTTCTGCTGGAGTACAGTAATTACTGCGCTCCAGCAGACTCCAGCATCACATGTATCAGTGTCCCTGTGCTGAAAAAGGTGGTGGGGTGCTTTAAACTAAAACTCATTCAACCAGTTCAAAGCACCTTGCTGCCACTTTTAAAGCACCCCTGCCTCTTGGAGCTCATCTATAAACATCCTGAATGTCCAATTTTTGAGCCACTTTAAAGGTGAAGGTTTCTAGAAAGTGCTAAGCACTCACCTTTTAAAAAAACAGGTTCCTTTAAGTTTCCTCAGGTTGGGAACCCAAAGGAAAACAAAAACCCACTAACCATTTATCGAAGAATGATGTGACCAGATCATACCTTCCACATGGTAATTAACAGGATTAAAAAAGTTATTGGCTGTATACAGCCTCAAAGCCATTAGTAACCAGGTGCCTTAGTAACTTGTTAATGGGTTAGAGGTCTTTAATCTTTGGCTAAAAGTCACTTACGTTACAATTTGTGACCGGAACCCACTGTGAAGAGAGACAGAAAAAAAAACCAAAAAAACCAAAGGAAACTGATCAGGATAAACACAGGATGGGTTGTTCTTGGCACAGGGCTAATACGCTCATGGAGCAATTTGTTTTGAGAAGAGAGAGCATGCAGAAAAGCTTGCCATGAGGTCTGTGTGTCCATCACGTTCATTGCTATGTGATATCCTAACAGACCAACTCTGGTCTGGGAGCAACTGCTGCTCAGAGGCAGAAAAACCCCAAGCTGATCTAAAATGCACAGTTTGAATAAAGTCCTTTTCCCTGGTCCAGAAATGTGAAGCTCGAAGGGCCTGATCCCAGTTTGTTTGTACTCATGTTGACCTCGCCTCTTGCCACCCACCACCCTTCCTTGAGAAACTGGTGTAGGAACAGAGTCACAGAAAAATAGGACTGCAAGAGCCCTCAGAAGGTAATCTAGTCCAATCCCATTCTCAACGTTTGAACATCCCTGGCTAAGAGAAGTGATTTCAAAGTTGTTGTACTAGTGATTTTGAAAGCAAGGTGACTGCAGGGGTGAAGAGGTAGAGGGGGGGGTCAAAGAAACTGTCAGGAAAAGGAGATGTCAAAGAAGTTGTAAGCAGAGAATGCATCTCCCTCCCATTTCAAGGCCACCCTGAACATTCCCTGGGTTCAAATGTTTGATGCAAACTCTAACATTAAGTGCCACTCATGTAGACAAATGTAGAGAGACTGGAGGGAGGGGAGGCGTTAAACCCCCCGCCATCTACAGGACACCAATGCATGACATTCCTCTCAGCCCCTCCCCAAATATAACAAAATGTGCCATTTAGAAACAATGTTTTCAAATCAACTCAGCCTTTGGGGAACCCCTGACCAGAGGTTTAAGTGAGAGAAGGAAACATTTTTGGAGGATTGTGAACTCCAAATAGTTTCCCAGGCCTCCCAAAGTGATTCAAGGGACTCCTAAAGCCTCAGGCTCCATCCAGATACAGATCAGCTGTTTCCACTGGCTTGGAACAGGAAACCTCAGTGCAAAATGCAATCTAGCAAGGCCTTCCCTACAGCAGCCTCTTCAGTTATCACCCAGTGTTGCTGTGGTGGTGGGCATCTTAGAAATAGCTAGGAAACAGAGAACAAAGGCAAAGGCCTGGCTGAACTTGATATAGGAAGCCTGGTAGAGGGGTGACAGCAGCGCTGAGAGGGCTGAGTGAAAGGGCAAATGGCAAAGGGAGTGCATGGGGCGTTTCTTACTTTGGTCCACCACATTCTATCGCCGAGACCTTCACCACAGGCAGGACCTGTGAAGCCACAGGCTCTATGGTCAGCATGTTCTGCTCTACGGCTGCCCGCACCAACTCAGACAGCTGCAGCAAAAGACAGAGAATAAGGACTGGGATCAGTGTAGGTTACGGCCAGAGAGGAGGCAAATGCATCACTGCTGAAATCCCGAGTCCTTGCTTCTGAACCTGCACTCACCTCATGCCTGGTGAAGTCTAGACAGGGCTCCACGTCTTCTCGGTAAATCCTCTCCAGGAAGGAGCAGGCTTTATCCAGAGTTGGAGCCTCCTTCCAGGCCTGGAACTCAGCAAACAGGATGGCGTCGACCTATAGCAGATGTCAGGGGAAGGTGGGGATAGGGAGTAGGGAGCCAGGGAGAAACACCACACACGAAAGCAGCCATTAATGAACAATACCCCCCAACCCTGACTACAAAGGCCACCTCAGGACCCAAGCGAATCCAACAACACAGCAAGAACTGCGGAAAAAAAAGCAGGCTTGTCCTTTGGGGCTGCACTTCGCGTCAGCCTGGAAGGAATACACCTTCCATCTCGTACCCAGGCCAGCTTGCCCATAGGATACCTATCTGGCCACATCAGAGTCACTCAGTCCCACAAGGGAACATGAAAGCAGATCACTCCTACCCAGGATGGAGCCACCCTCCCATCTGGGAGAAACAGCCGCACAGTAGAAGAACTGGCATAATTCTCCTCCTGTCCCATGAAAGGGAGGGCAGGACTAGTCCATGGGTGAATGACCATGAAACCCTGGACTCAAAAGGCAGAATCACCTTCTCAGCCTAGAAGGGAATAATTATAGGGAAGGGGTGAGTCAGGAAAAGCTTTTGTTCAATGACCTCCATCATCCCTAAACCAAGCGAGTATGGGCTGGCCCTTTAGGGAACCCCCGGGTAGCAAGGTGGGCTGGGTAGCGAGGTGGGCTGGTCCTTTAAAGATAGCCTTGACCCCAGAGCTGATGCATTCTGGAAGCAGTGGTTTCCAGAGGCGGCTGCAGCTGTAGGCAGCAGGGTATGCTGAAAGTGGAAAGCAGGGTTTAAAAAGCAGCCTTTAATCAGAACACAGATGAGACCATACCTGCCATGGGTCTTTTTTGCAGAGAACAAGCAGCTTTCCTGCTGCTTCTCTGCAATGGGGGCCCAGGCCAGGAAATGCTTTTCCCCCCATTCTTGCTCATTTCTGGAAGGAAGGCTGCTGCTTATATCCTGCTTTCCTGCCCTCTCCCACCATGCCCTACTGCAAAGGACCCCCAGTCCTTCTCAGTCCCTGGCTCCAGCAGAAAACAGGATGATACTGGGACTGCCTTAAAGGGCCCGCAGAGTCCATTATAGTCATTTAAAAAATGACTTTGTGGAAAAAAAAGAAAAAGAAGAAACAAATACACAAGAATGAAAAATAAAAAGCCCAGCCTGAATAGAATGTAAGTAAACAAAGCTGCCCAGACCCCAGGGAAAGGTCAGTGCTGAGAGTACAAGAGCGCTGGGCTATGGAGACTGCTCACCTGGTACCAGGAGACAACTTCAGAGCCACAATATGGAAAAACAATTAGAGAAACAAAACAAAAATGAGTGTTAGTATCAGAGAGAGGACCAAAAGGCTGAAGGTGTGAGAGGCCAATAAATCCCACCCTCTCCTTGTCCTACCCTCTATGCCATACCCATTCTAGCTTCAGAGTATTTACCTGCCGCAAGGATGAAGATGACGAATCTGCCGCCAGGGACGGCCATCCTGGCTCATAGGTGATGTGAATAGCCTTCCCAGGGATGATACAAAGAAGCAGAGAGAGTAGAGTGGGCACCCCGGACTTTGAGAGCAAAGAGGAAAAGCGAGGTGGACAGACAGACAAACAGACAGGCAAGGAGTGGGTTTAGAGAGACAGGCAGAAAAAGAAAGGTTATAACATGAGAGAGAGACAGAAGATACAGAAAAGCCCCCAGCCCTGTCTTTCAGGATACAGGAACCTCTGAAGAGATGCCAGCATCCTCAGCATTGTGCTGATCATACCTTAAGTTTTCAGAAATGGCCAGAGATTTGATATTCCATCATTTTCAGGCACCCAACTTGAGATGCCTGATTTTCACAAGTTGCTGAGCACCTGCCCTCAAATTCAGAATCTTTGAGGCAGTGGGGAACCAGAACCTGGTCTCAAGTCAGGAACCTAAAAATACCAGCATCAAATCAAAAAAAAAATCACTGGACACTTTTGAAAAAGGCCCCACTGTAGCCGCACTAAGGCAAACTCCTTGTGCAGACAGAACAAGCTGGAACAAGTAGCCCAGAGAAGCTGTGGAAGCTCCTCCACTGGAGGTTTCCAAGTGGCTGGATGAGCACCTGTCTGATTTAGGAACATTTTGCATAAATGCAGGATGTTGGACTGCAGGATGAGGTCCTTTCGACCTCTAGGATTCTACACCCCTACCAGAGATATCACCTGAAGCCACTGCAGTTGTGGTCATAGATAGCAACATCAGAGATGTCAGCTCAGTCCTGTGTGGGGAGGATGTAACCCCCTCCCTCTGGTCAAACTAAAGGCCTCACTGCTTGGCTGCCATTACCGGCAGAGTCAGAGGCTAAAGGTTTCTATGCTCTGTAAGGCCATATCTGCATGGAAAACTTCCCTAGCCCAGCAGTAATGGAGCCACATCTGCACAGCACCAAACAGGCTATTTAGCACTGCTGAGGGACAGGGCTGACTCCTCACTGCCCCCCATGCTAATTAACCTGCTTGCAGCACCATGTGGATGCAATTGCAGTGTTTCTGATTTAGCGAGCAGCTCACTGAGGGCAACATCACACCCTGGAGGGTGCCACTTCTGGGCACATCAACAGGTTTATTGTGCAGCCCTAGCCTAAGTCCTTCCACCTTGCAGCTATCTCAGCTCCTGGCAATCAGGGTACAGCACCAGCATCCTCTCCATTGCCAAAATATTTATGTTCTTCCCATCCAAATGCCAAAACAGGCTGCCATCTCCTTTTGAGCTCCCCTGCCAACAAAGCTTTACAAGACACCCATGCCAACACGCTTGCATTGTGATACATGTGCACATCCCATTACACCTGCATTTGTAGAAAACTGACACAGGTGAGTTTTATTCAGATCCACATTTAGAGAGCAAGGGAAAAAGTCACAGAAGTAAAAAACAGAGGAAAATAACAGAGTTCAGTTGAAAGAATGTTCACAACTACTTTTTTCTATTTGATTGCCCAGCTCTAGCAACAATCCTCTTGTAATAGAGACAAACTATACTTGCTCTGTAGGTGGGGAAACCAAGGCACAGAGAGGGAAAGTGATTTGCCCAAGGTTATACAGCGAGTCAGTGGCAGAGCCCAGACCCTGGACTGCAGGAAGAGATCACAGGTGCCATCTCTCTCTGTGGGTGCTTGTGCTAATGTCTGAGCTATGAAGAATTTTATCCATAGGGCCCTCCAAAAACTCACAGACTATTTCCAGAACTCAGACTGGGGTGAGACTCCCACAAGAGGAAGTTCCTCCACTCAGGGATTTTGGCAGGAAACCCACAGATCACAGCATGGCAGGATTTGGGGGACTCCAAACCACAAACTACACAATCTCAAACTGCCTGGGTCATGTGCCCTAAGAAAGAAACCACAGGACAGGGGAAGGCCTATGGGATCTGCAGAACCACAAGGAAAGCCCCTGACCAGATCCCTATACCAGTGTCCTGCCCCAACCCACAGGGCCAAGACTTGACATAGTATCAACCCACCTCTTTGTACTCATGGTTGACTGGCTCCAAGGGCAGGCTCTGGCCACTGGCTGTGCCTACGGCACTGCTGGTGCTCTTGTTCCGCCCATGGCCCTTCCGAAAGACAGCTTTGGTGGGGCTTTGGAGCTGGGGGTGCAGCTCCCGATTTGGAGAGGAAGGTGTAGACGTGATCACCAGCGTCTTCAATGCTGTCACCTCTGCCTGCAGCATGTCAATCTGGGCCATGGAAGAAAAAGGAAAGTTACTGAAGGCATTCCCCATATCCACCACAGGACCTGCCACAGGAAATGCACATCCCAAAGGGACATTGGCACTACCCAGACCCAGGCCCAACCTAGGGCCTTCCTCCTGATCCCTCCAGAGCATCCAAGCAGCTCGCCCACTGCCGCAGGACAACAAACCAGGGAGCTGCATGTACATGGAACAGAGACAATTGCCATAGCCTGCCCTTCCTGCCCTACCTCCCCAACAGGCTGTGTAGGCAGGTTGCATCCAAGTTCTAGGGCCCAGAGGCTCTTTCCCCCTCACCCCATCCTGGATAAGGACCCACCAGCAGACATGGTTATGCGACCATCTGGTGCAGTTTGACCAGGGAATCCCAGCCCCCAGCATTGCAGTGCCTCTGACCAATAGCTTGGTCCCAGCTCTGCCATAATGTAATGCTGCCAGTTAGTCCTGCCTGAGGGTGGGAGCAGGTGAACTCCTGGGTCCAGTTTCTAACAACAGTGAAGCTAGGCCTACTGCTGACTTCCAGGATCCCTCTCCCCATATTCCACACGTACTGTACAGGACACAGGGTAACACTTAGTTCCAGAAGGGGATCAGATAGCATGAGACCTCTGGCCTTTTTGTCCTCTTCCTGTCAACAGGTGCCACTGTGCCCAGACCAGACTAGATCAGGGTGAGCAGCAGGGGAAAAGAAGGATTCAGGAGCTGCAAGACCAACTTAAAGTTAGCCAGTGACATACCGTGGGTCTCTGGCACTCGGGGACCAATGCTTGCATTTGCGTCCCCCCCACCCCCCATCCTTCTCATAGCAATACTTAAAGTCACATTGCGCGATAAGAACTCTGAAGGACCATGGCTCCCTCCTGCTCCCAACCCCACCCATTGGTCTGCCACTGGAGTTAGCCCCATCCTCACCTTTCCTCGTGCCTCCCTCAGCTGTTTCTCCGATGCCGCCTGCTTAGTGTTTGCTTCTCTCACCATCTTGTGTGCTTCCTGCGGCAGAAACAGCGTGTCACACTCTGCCCATCCCAGCCAGGGTGGTGCACTTAAGAGAGCAGAGCACAGCAGAGCCTGGGCAGGACAGACTCCAAGAACCATGCTCCACCCATAAATATATACCACTGGCAGCTGAACCTGCCACTTCATCATTCCTTCCCAGAGGTGCAAGTGCCACTCAGCAGCTTTCCTGCCCCCTGTAAGAACCATGGTGCCTTCCCCATGCACCCCAGAAGAGCATCCCCAGGTTCTCCCTGGAGCAGGGTGTGGCAGGCCAGTAGGGGGAGCTCCTGCGTTAAGCCTCCCACCTCACTACACCCGTCCACCTTCTGGACTCCACGTGTCTCTCCAGGGACGCCTAAGCCCTGGCAGACCCCCTTTCGAGCCCCACTGCAGAGTCCGGGGGTAACGTGTGCTGCCACCACCCGGAGAAGGGACTGTCTGGGTTCTGTGTCCTCGGGGAAACACAGGCCTAATAGTCCTACGGGTACTCGACCCAATACAAGAACTTGGAGCACTTCCCCAAGTCGGGGGACAAAAAGGATAGTCTCCCTTAGTCCACTGACCCAAGGGGCCTCCTGGGCATAATTAAACCCACCCCTCAGTAAGTCTCCTACACCAGTCACAAAGGAGAGCTTTTTTGCTCCCAACAGGATGAGGTAGAATAGGGTAAGAGGTAGAGCACTATCAAGGGATTACCATTGAGCAAAACAGTCTGGCTGAGGTAGCTGTTTGATACGCAAATGCATCACTGTGAGCTGACTAGCTCTCTAGAAACACTTACAAGTATCATTCAGAAGATGGTAGAGATCTGGCTCGGAGATTTCCAGAGAGAGAGCATTTCAGATGGATCAGACTTTCTCCCCGTGTCCTGGTGTTTGGGCCATGCTGGTAAAATGGCTTCCCCTCCTTCTTCTTGGACCAGGCCCTTATATAGCCTTTCTGACCTCAGCAGCCCAGTCCAATAGAAGCCAGCAGTGTTGGCAACTAGCCAACCAATTTAAAAAGTATCACTGGTTACTTGGGCAGATGAGCAGGGGCTTTTCCCTCCCCCCACTCAGATGACCAGAAGGACCACACCCTAGGCCCCAGGCTTTTGTCACGTAGATAGGAAGGAAAATCCCCCCTCCCTTAGGAATTCAACTCCAGTGTCCCAAGCTGACTGGGACAGATTTCTGGAGAGAGACCCAGACGGTGGCATTTCTGCCAGACAGGGCCTATGCCTCAGTGACAAAGTACAACCCTTTTCACCCTTATTGTCCAGTGTTGGCCGTTTAGGTGTCCACTGCTGCTGGGAACCAGGACTTGACTAGCCTGCAAAATCACTGTGCCCATGTTACAAGGACAAAGTCCCTGTCTCCAGTGGGGTGCAGGAGAATGGCTCCCATGATTCACCAGGCACACCATGGTGGCAGCGCTGGCATCCAGGGCAGTTGGACAAGATGCAGACAGCCTGGATAACTGTGCTAACAGGGAACAGGTTACAGCAGAAGAGAAGGCTAGGTTGAGCCAGGGGCACTGAGTAAAGGGCTAACCTGCCTGGCCAGAAGCAACACCAGCTGCCAAATAAAGACATCTTATGTGCACCAGCTACTGGAGTGGGGCAGAGTTCCATGCTCTCCCTGTGGACATGTTCTGCCACCACTGCTGGAGCAACTGGAACAAAGTGGAGGGGCAGGGAAGCAAACAGACTGCTTCCCAAATCGGCCCCTCCACACTAGGAGCACAGCAGCTGCCCTCTGCCAAGCTCTGTCCTTGGCGTCAGCAGTCCCTGCTGTGTGTAACAGGACAAGCTGGCGGCATTTGGAGAGAACCACAGGAAAGGATCCAGTAAGGCAGCCCAAGGTGTGGAGAGAACCTGTCCAGTGGGAGACAGAGAATGACCCTGGGTCAGGGAAGGGGCAGAGGGGAAGAGAGGCGAGCAGTACCTCAAACAGACTGGCTGTCAGCTCCTCCAGCTCCTGCTCCAGCTGCTCCCGGACCTTTGACAGCCTCTCACACTCCTCATCCTTCAGCTTCAGCTCCTGCAGAGGGGAAGACAGGGGGACTTGGGTTCCCTGGACAGACGTGGCTG